AGGCGATGCATCTGGAATAACAGAAGTAATATCACCACAAAACAAAAAACTGACATCACAAAAGATGCAGCTCCCTCATTCGGCCATTAGATGGCGGTGTTGTTGCTGAATGCTCCCGGCTGTGGGACTCTCTCTCTCTCTCTCTCTCTCTCTCTCTCTCTCTCTCTCTCTCTCTGAGGAGGAGGAATGAGGAGAAACCAGAGGAAACAGCTGCTGCTCAGCCTCCATGTTGTGACCTCAAGGCGCCGAGCGACTGACGAAAATACACCGAACTGACTGAGACGAGGTTTTGGTGCAAATGCGTTGTTGGAAAACACACGTTCACGGAAACACACTGACGCACAATGTCTGTCATCGACTTCCCGTTGGAGCGTTTTGTCTCCGAGGTGAAAATCACGTCCATCGATTTCTGGGCTCAGTTCTGTCTTTGTTCGATCGGACAGAAAAATTATCTTCTCACACTTCTGCCGAGACGAGACGGTTTTTATTCTTCTCGGAAGGAGACAAACAAAAACCTGTTGAAATTACTTGTGGAGCGGAGAGACTGAAGTTCTGTCTGTGCCTTTGTGACGCTGGTGGAACATTGATTCTCGTGTCTTCTTTCTTTTAAGTCAAAATTTGTAACTTTTAAAAACTTTTTCAATCAGCTGTTCAAATAAAAATCCTTAGATAAAACACACCGACCCCGGTGGTTGTAATGATATAAAGTGTAATTTAAAGGTCAGAGGACCTTGTGCAGATTGTTATAAATAAGATTTGATGGATTTCATCAGTTTCTCTTCATGATTCATCAGATGATTTTTCATGAGATTGAAAAAAAGACATTTATTCATTTTTGAAATGTCTGAAAATCTCATTTTGTGTATTTTCTGAATAATTGTTGACCTTTAATAAATAAAATGCAGTGAAAATAAAACCAACACAATTTATACATTTGGATATATTTTACAAATAACAGAAGGAAAATAAGAGGCGGGTCAAATTTAAATCTAACCTATGTGTGTTTGTTGATGTGCACGTGTTTAGATCAGTTTGTGTTTGATTTGTGTGTGTGTGTGTGCACGTGATTGAATGTTTGTGTAGTTGTGTGTGTGTGCGTGCATGTGTGTCTTTGGCTCTGGGACATTTCTCTGACATCATGTTTGTCACGACTGTCCAGTCAGCAGTCCACCATGCTAAGCTAGCATCTGTGAGCTAAAGAAAGAAAACCAGGAGGGTGATGTCATCCTGAACAAAGCCCCCCCCAAAAAAAACTCCCAGCAGCCACTTCATCAGCTGAGCGCTGGAGGTAACCAGACAGAAACGCCACGACTGAGGACGGTCTTAATTATGTGGACGTTTTAATTAATGCTGCTTCTGTCCAATTTAAAATCCGAGGCTGTTTTAAGAGGAATGTTCTAAACGATATCATGCAGCTAAATGCAGCGACCTCTCCTCTTTTGAATAAACTACAGAAGTGCGGTCAAACATTTTCTTAACTTTCCACCTGAGGCTGCGACGCTGCGACGCTGCGACGCTGCGACACAATCTGACTTTGCTCTGAAGGTTTGTGTCGATTTCCTGCAGCGTCATCGTGAGGATTTGGATTTCCAGAGGTTTTTGGTCAAAGATTTGGTTGAAACTCTTTAATCCTGCAGCAGAACATCGAGCTTCCTGCAGCTTCCTGCGGCGGAGAGCAATTATTTGGAATAAATCCCGTTCGATGTTCAGTCACAGGCGAGAACAAGGCGAAGCCTGACGAGCCGTCAGCTGGGAGGAGAAAAGGTTTCATCCTCCGAGCGGCCGTCTTATCATTAACCTTGAAGAACGTCAGCTTTTAACAAGCTCACTTCTTCTTCTTCTGCTCGGATGATTTTCAACATCTGATTAAAGCCGACAGGTTTAACTCCGTCACTGGACTCATCCTCAGTCTTATTGCTTGTTTCTGTTGTCCCGATGAATTATGGGTAAAGGGGTCACCGGTAAACGACGTGTTATTGGTGTTTGAGCAGAGAGCAAACAACCGGTTCCTGCCTCCGGGGGCAAAAACACAATCTCTGAGAAGTGGGTTTTGTAAACTCCCCCCTGGAGCAGCAGCGTGGAACAGCAGTGGAGGTTTCAAGATAAAGATTCACTCGTTGAAAATGTCTCCGAGAGTTTTCTTCCATCGTTCATGCTCCAGGTTTCAGATCCACACTCACACGGTTTCGAACCCAGAAAACAAACCGATGCACTGGGAGATGAATCTGAAAATGTGTTTGAGAGACAGATTTAAAAATCCGACTGTGAAATGAAGAAATATTGTTTTTAAATTAGACGAGCGGCTCGCTCTTGAATAAAGATAAGAAACCGCAAACTAAATGTTTCTGGTGATTCCTCCGACAGCTGTGCTCGGAGTTCTGTCTCCCAGGGTGCTTTGCAATGACGACAAGACGCAGGAGAATAATTGGAAAACATGGAAACAAACCGTGACAAAAAAAACGCCCGGAGTCTTTGGAAGATCGACAAAAGCAAGAAGCAAGTGTTTGTGTTTCCATCACGACGAAGTGAAGTTTGCGTGAAGTGAGGACGATTACATTTAAGACTGGGGATGTTTTCACGACGTTAAACTTTAAACTCAGAACGTAAAATCCCTCCGAGCTCTCAGTCTTCGACCAGCGAGTCGGTACCGCACCTGACAGGATGAAGAAGATCCCCGACACGAAGGCGAGGATGGTGCGCTGGGGCCGGATGTGTCCGATGTTGCTGATGACGAAGGCGGTGAAGACGAAGAGCAGGGAGACCATCGGGAAGGGAGTGGCGGTTCGGACCATTTCTGCAGGAGGACGAGATCAAAGTCGTCAAAGTCAAACACATTAATGCTTTTATACTGAAGCAAGGTCACATGACCTGTCAGTTTTTAGTGTCTGTGTGTTGGATTGTGTCTTAGTTCAGGACGAACACGACTCACTGAGTATGTTGGCCGTGTTCTCTGTCGTGATCTCGATCTCTGGCTCGGTGAAATATTCTGACGCCACACAACGGCCCTTCTCTGGACCTGAGAGAGAGAGACAGTCAGAGAGACAGTCAGAGAGACAGACAGAGAGACAGTCAGAGAGACAG